GTGACCCCTCCTTGGGTTTCCGAGGCAGTATCACTACAGAAGTAGGATTGCCCAACCTTCCTTCCGAGGAGTGGCTGGTGGGTTTGAACCGCCAGCTGTCTGATTAGCAGGCAAGTGACTTAGCTACTATGCTACCAGAGCTCCCTTGAATTTGTCTTAGTTATCTAGTATTGCTCTAACAGAAATACCCCAAGAGGGTAGCCTTAAACACAAATTTATTTTTCGGCAGTCAGGAGGCTAGAAATGCACATTCAGAGGCAAGCTTTAGAGGGAGCCTTTCTCTCTCTGTTTCTGGGGGAAGGAAGATCATTTTATCTTTAGCTTCTATTCTTTGGATCCTTGGTGTGATAGTTGGTGTTGTGTGTCAGCTTGGCTGTACCACACTTCTGAGTGGTTTAAGCAGTTTTGATGTGGTTATTCCCATGATGACATCAGATGTATATGCTTTGAGCAGCCAATCTGTTGAAAGGGAGTTTCCCTAGGTGTATGGCCTACTTCCATTATATATATGGATGTCCTGGGAAAAAGAATCTTCTGTGGATCTGGATCCTGTTGTGCTGCCTACAACTGTCCATGGGCAAACAATCCACCATTCTGCCTGGTGATCTTGAATTTGTTGTCTGCTGAAGTTAACAGCAAGTATGCTGCTTGCCAACCTTAAGCTTGTTATCTCCTGCAGCTGCCTGAATTGGGAGAAGGCTCCAGTTTGACGTTTGATCTAGGAACTTGTGACTTGTCAGCTTCTATAACTGTGAGCCATTTTCCTAAGATAAGTTTCTCTCTCTCTCAGCTTTACTGATTTTGCTTCTCTAGAGAACCCAGCCTAACACACTTGGTAATTTTCATATGGTGTGGCATCTACTTCTCCCATCTGTGCGTCCTTAATCTCCTTTTATGTAGACAGTCCTTGGGTTATTAACATCTGACTTACATACAGCCTGTAGTTATGGATCAACTCCTGTAAACCAATATATTAAGAATTTGAGGTATATACAATGATTGATAATAACAAATGGGCGCTACTTTGCGACATACCCCGTAACATTATTATTACTGTATTATTATGTTAAAGATATTTTAGTGTATCTGGAAGTGTTTCTTTAATGTTTTTATGCATACAGAGTTACACTATATACTATATACTAACACAAACATTGACTAACTGATGTTAGATACAACCTGTACCTAACTTATATACAAATTTGACTGACTTAAAGACAGACTTAGAAACAGAACTTGTTAGTAATCCATGGCCTGCCTGTATCTCAGAAGAGATGTACTCAAGACA